GACCAATTTGACTAACAATAGACGGATCGAAACCCACCAATGACTGATGACAAACTTTACACGAGTCTTTCAGCCAATACCATCATGACTAAACTGACCAATCATGTTCAACGGACCAGACTTTTAACCTTATCGACTGACAAAAACTATTCGCTTAACTCTAAAGATGACTTCCGCTCAAGTTGTCGAAACGTCAGTCACCAACAACAGTTCTTTTCAGAATTACCCTCACCCGGACGATCACACTATACGAACTACTGATACTTCTGGGTTCAAACCATTTACTAAGAACAGTTATATTACTAAAGCGGGTTTCTAGTTTCTCGAATAGACCCAAATTCGAGGACGATTCATTTGACTGCGATATAGAATACTCTGACATCAATTTCGAGAGAACTGCCTTAGAAATTTATGTATACTGCGCATTAAAAATAAGAGGGACTACCTTGGCCGTGAGTTTAGAGAAGCTGAAGGAAACGAAAACAGTGAAAAATAACCAAGAAAATAAGACCATAGTCCTCGAAGTCTGTCATTTTGATTTTGTTGGTTTATGTCATGACATCAATTGAGTTCACCCACTTCATAACCTATTTCAGTGTGGCCACTCATAAAATATAACGCCGTTGTTTCGTTGTAACCAACCTTTAACCGAGTCAATTTATTTGAGAATTTTAACGGGTCTCTAAAAAATAAACCCAGTAAAGGCCACAGCCAATATCGTTCATTACTTTACCTTTTGCAGTGATGTCAATATCCTTTCAGAATCAGTGTTTTACCAGCGAAGTTTTCGAGGAAATTGTATGTCCCTCTGCATCAACTTTGCGTACAATTTTCAATCAGTCAGTATAGGGTCCGTGTAGAAAAGAACTGTGGCTGAGAATTTTTTATATTCGTTGGTTTGTTTGCTGTAGTTATTATTGTTTGTTATTTTCTCAGTTTGGTCAGGATAATTTATTTTTGACGTCTTATAGGCAGGGATTATCGTACCTTTGACCAAACCAAGTCGGCGTTTCGGGAAATGTTATTCACTATCCGAAAGTTTTGTTTTTACACTAAAATACATTTGATAATTGTTTTGCTTTCAAGTAACATTATGTTAAGAACAATTTAAAGTTTAGTCAACTAACTTTCAACTCGTTTTAGGAGGAAAGAAGCCAGAGGAAGAAAGTCTCTGCTTATGAGCACCAAGGCAAACCCAGAAAACTCTTCAATCGGCCATGGATCGACTCCTGTACGAAATAGCTGTCAGGACACAACACAAAGCAAAGAGTCTCGAGTTCGAAGCGAAAAATCTTAGTGAGACAGTTGAAAGTTTACGGGATGAGAACAGAGCACTCAAACGACTCCAGAGATCACAAAAGAGGAAAATTCATGAAAGGCATGATTTTGTAGATATGGCAAATCTGTCACTGAAAGGTTTTCGCAAGGACGTCAGATTCAGTGAAGAGAATTGTGTTGATGCCCAGGCCAACACAAGGCGAGTAACAAGTCAATATGCTATTTATGAGTTGCCTTTGCTCCTTGTTTCAAAATGAGACAGCATGCAATGCGTAATATAAAATGATTTATTTATTATTCATTTATCATTGAATAAGCATTTTTAAACGCTCTCCTGTACATGTTTAAGGCAGTAATGACGATTAAACTAAAATCGATGTGATGCATGTATCAGTGCGAAAGAATCTGTTATATAGGGCTTAAACACAATCAGGGTGATAAAGTTCACAGGGTCTACGTTATGGGCTGAAAATCTGCAATAGACTTGTTTCATTTGATTTTTTCGGACTTTTATCATAAAAGGTGTTCAGGAACAAACATTTTGAATGCAAAAGAGCATGTATAATACAAATTGACAAAAATATATATATAGATTAAGGGCCCAGGGGAACTCCTATTTAAAAAGGACGGGGGTGCTCTTCATACTCTTCAGGGGTTAAAAAAGAAGTTTTGGTACCTCTTAGGGTGTTCAACCTCAAAACTTTGACAGCGGGAGCTTTTGTGTTACCTTTTATGGTATTGAGCCCAAAAAACGGCACATGATGTTTTGGTTTAGAATTGGTACCTCTGAGGGACCCTCTGAGGGACCCGCTGATGATGAAAACAATTTCAAACCAAGCTCACAAAGCAGGATCTTGGTACCTCTTTGGGTTTTTTTTCAAAATTTCCGACCAGCACCCCCGTCCTTTTTATGTGGGAGCCCCCCTCGGGGTTAAGGGTTAAAAATAAGCTGAATTTTACCGTTGTGGAGGGACACTTCGAATTGTCAGTTTTTGGCTCCTTCATTGTAGCTTGATTGTGCATTGTGTGGAAGTGAGGGTTAATCATTTGGATATATAAATATGTTTTTTTTGTGTGACGGATTCATTTATATGTATGACTTGCAGCCCAATTGCTTAACCATACCATGTTATGCAAAATGGTATTTTAGAACCTTTAGCTCCAAAATATGAAGTTTTGTTGGAAACGTTAAATATTACATCACTAGAAATATCTCTCTCAGTGCATTTGAAACTTATATTCTTGGTATTTTAAAATTTTTTAGTTGTAAAAAAATCTACAGCACTTCAAAGTGAGACTTAAATGGTCGCTAACATCCTGTAGTGTCCGTACCCCCATGTGATTTTAAGGAGTCACTTGACTAAATGTAAAAAAAAACTCTACATGTTTTTTGTTGTGGTTGGGTAATATACAAATATGGTATTTATGGCGATTTTTAGTTTTCAATTGTTGCAAAAAAAATGGCCAGAATTACCAAAAAGTAGTGTCCGTTCCCCCCTGTGCCTTCAAGTGCAATTTATGACACAAACAGGCATTTTTTTGTCTTAAAAGAGTTTTAAGATATCTTCCTGTGACATTTCCATAAAAATTATGCAATTTCAGCTACTGTCCATTTTTTTGCCTAGTTACCAAACTCTGAACTTCTTGTGTTTTTTTGCAAGACAAAATCTTTTTTTATGCAAGCTTTTGCACCAGAAATGGAGTCAACAAGGCAAACACATAAAATTGATTAAAAAAGAAAATTATGGTTGGCTTATTGATTTTCTAGATTTTTAGTGTCCATACCCCCCAAAATTGACTGGTCATATCTCTGATGATGCGAATGTCCCGAGGTACTTTAGAGAAGTAATGAAGAGATGTTGTATTTGCAAACCATGCATGAAAAACAAAGATATTGTTAAGTTGATTTTTTGACCTGAGTGACCCCTACTTTGCCACCCTGATTGTGTTTTAGCCGATAGTTGGTTTCCCACTGATCAGTACTCCTGGATTAAAACCATTTATTGATAAGTCATCTGTCATGTATTTGGTGTAATTCCCATTCCACAAAACATCTTTTTTTTTTTGTACTGCCTCTTTTCAAGACCGGAGAAAGAACGGTTTTAGATGGTTTGATCGCGTCCGCTAGTTCTCAACAAACGGAAATTGGTTATGGCTTACTGTATTGTGTAAGTGTTGTATGTACCGAAGATGTTTGATGACTAGAGAATAGTGTGACTGTTTTCGTTTCGGAAGGGAAACAATCGGCAACTTTAGAAATATTGTTTAAACTGAGAGCCTTTCAATTAATCCCGTTGATACGGGGATAAGGTTAAAGAGTTTGTGTGGGTTAATTGAGTAAAAACGTACATATATATAAAAACATACAAGACTATCGATAATAATAATGGTAATAATTTACTAATTTTCAGGAAGAAAAACAAGAAAGTGATGCAACTTGAGAAAGAAAGCAAAAAACTCGAAGAGTTAGTAAAACTTGATTCGAAACTTCCAAGCGTAGAGGAATTGGAACTGAAAATAGAAAAAGCCAGCAGGGAACTTGAAAAGAAAGATGAAAAACTTGAGGTAAGTTTTATCCTTTAATTCCGGAGTAAAACCAACCTGATAACCCAGCATAACTTTGAGAAGGTTCTTTAGTTTTTTTCTCCTGTCTTCTAACGATTTATTGATGCCGTGATGTCGGAAGTGGAATCAATTCAACATTTGGTGCTGTTGTTGAAAATTGTACAATTTTTTCATCAGGATCTACAAACAAAACTCGAAGCCCAAGACCGTAAAATAAATCAAGAACAACAAAAAGAGAAAAAACGCCTTGTAAATCTACAACAAGAGATAGAAGAGACTGCCAAAGAGTGTCACGATCTAACGACAAGAATCAAGGTATAGTTTATTAAAGACAGATTATTAACGGACCCAGAGATTGCACAGCAAGTCTTAATTAGTTGTTCTGAAAAAGTTCTGTGAAGGAAGCAAAATGCGAGCGAGGATCGTGCAAGGAACAAAAGGAGAGACAGGAATGAGAGGATAGGTCCGTAATGCGTATATGTGTACACTGCCGTCAGTATCCATATACAGTATGAAGACAAGACGAATTCACAGTGAACCTCCTGTGGAAGTCAAAGAAGACATGTAGGTGTAGCTGTACTTCATTGGAAACCACTTCGTTATTTTTTCCAGTTGTTGTTGCGGGGCTCTAGAAGAACTAAAGTGGAGACTAAACAAATAAATATATACATGACATACACATGCACTTTTGTCTACCCCAAAAATTCCAGAAAAAGTACAGAGCCCAAGAGTTTTTTACATAGGTGCGTCAATAACCAGAAGCCAGAAGGGGAGGAAGAATTGTATATGAGGGTTATAATGTATATAGCTGGTATTTTGGGCTGAAGGTATTTTTTATTTTCGCAGGTGGTAGAAAGGAAAATTCACAAGACAAATATCTACAGCCGCAAGCGCGGTCCTGTTACACAGGGCCTCCCGGCCATTTCTTGGTATCCCCCGTCGGACGAACAGTCACCGACAAATAAAGTTCAAAAATGGCTCAATAAACACTCTGAAAACTCAATGTGAAACAAATGAACTGTTCTTGATTCTCTTTACGTCCTTCTTCTATGTGTGTATGTCGGGAAATTTCGAAGAGAAAGCTTTCGCTGAAAATAAAAATACAAACTTGCTACAAAACTAAACATGACGTATCATATTTGGAGGAGCGCTGGACTACGAACCAAGCAGTCTGGGCTGGATCACTGTGTTGTGTCCGTGGGTGAGGTGACTAAGACACTTAACTCTCAAAGAGCCTTTCTCCACCAAAGTGTATATGTGGTAAAAAACCTATTCCTTTTGAAACTGGACATAGACTCGACCGCAGACTTTTCCCATCAAATTGCTTGAGTTTTTAACTTGAGTTTTTAACTGAGTAAGAAATTAAGTTTGGCGATGGTTTACCAATGAAACTTTGCGAACCATGTACAGAAAGGTGAAGAATATTAAAGAATTCCGTTCTTTGTTGCTGGCATCACTTTCTTCTCAAGAATTGTCGATTGTAGGGTCCTGTGTGAAAAGAGTTTGTGGCTCGCAACAGGTTGGAGAACCACCATCTTATGGTGAGGCGAAAAAGAGTGAACCGCGTAAGTGTCAAAAGTGGTCGGATGTGTCTTTTCGTTGAGCTAGGGAGATCAACTTTACGACTAAAATCTCCCTCAGTTTAGACCTAGTGCTCCCTAGAATAACACGACTGTACTACATCGCCTTCCACAATTTTAAAAAGTTGGAACCGTTTACAAATGAGGGCTGAGGGTCAGTGTTTCAGAAAATATGTCTAAAATATACTTCTTTATTGCCCTTGAAGGTGAACGGTGTGTAAATGGTTTTGTTTCCTGGCGAATAATTTGTAGCATAGTTTTCTTGCTTTGGCATCAATGGAAGGCCAATAAGTGATTTCAACGTTTCTTTGCTGACTCCAATCTCCAAACGGAGAAGAGGAGCTGATGATGACTACCCCGACGACGACGACGACGACGATGATGATGATGGTGGTGGTGGTGGTGGTGATGATGATGATGATTGTGTTGCTAGCAGTGACAAGCTGTCACTTTATTAGCTATCACCAGGAGCCATAATCAGGGACGGAGACCGTAAGTCTTGGGATCCGCGCGCACCTATGATATGGGACAGTTTTTCTATTTTTAGAACAAATTGCGCT